GTTCGCCTAAAATAAAAAGCACTTTCAGGAGGATTATCTCTTTGGAATGATGCAGCTGAAAGTTTAAACATCTCCAAAATCATAGGACAATATGTGAACAGTCTCTGCAGTTTGGCTTTGATAAAGTGAAGCAGAACAAAATTAGAGAGGTTTTAGTACAGAGAGGTCAGGCGAGGTCTCCAAAATAGTCATTTTGGCACCAGCTGTTCCATTTAAATTTTCTATACTATATAACTATATATTTCACTTGTTTTATCACTAATAGTGTTCAGTACATCCAAATACAGCAGTTTGGCTTCATTTTGAGAGCCTGAATCCTCTCTGAGCCCTCTCTGTGTGTCTCTGTGTCATGGAGTTTTTTCCAAAATCCAGTCCCCTGTGTGTATGCAGCCTTGTAAGTCAGCAGCCCATTGGTCTATTTCAGTGGTTCACACCTCTTTGGACGCGTTAGAGCCAATAGAATTGAGCTAGAGACACGTGGAAAAGATTGACAGCACTGTTAGCCAGTCAGAATCAACAAGGCGCCGTCTCTCATGAAGCATAATATCCGATACGCCGAAAGTCAAATCCTACCCTCTGCTCCCCCGGCTTAGATTACACCCCCAGTATTTACGGAAACAGTTTTATGACAAACAGGACATCCGTTGAACAGATATCAGAGTGAAAAAATGGGATTTTATGCTTTGTCTTCATGAAAACGGCGAAAGGCGAGGGGCGTTTTCTGATAATAATCGATAAAGCGGTTGGTGTTGCTGGTGTTTGTTGGCTCATATCTCGGTAATGGTTTCACGGAGAGAAATATTGAAGATATCTCCGGAATCTGTGTAGAATTTAGGTTTTCTTTGTTAGCATGTAGCCTTCGCTCGGTAGCTCCTAACATGTGCGGAGTCTGTTCACTCATGGCGAAATATGACTATGATACATTCTTATAGTTGGTTGTTTGAGTTGTTTGAGTTGTGTTTGGAGCATGTACAAACGGCTTGAATATCATTGTAGCCCAGGTTCTGAAGTTTCATTTGGTGTGCGATATCATATTCGTTTCGTGATGAGTGTATTTTTTCGATGGTAAACTGTGGGCTGTCGGGTTTATGTGGTTTTAATAACAAAAGAGATCTCAGAGACGCCATCTTGACATGCCCTATCTGTCCGCTGAAGGCTTCCTCACACTCTGCGTTTTTGGGCCCACAGAGATGTGCACCAAAGAGTCTTTCACCAGCAGAGCCACTTGAGAATATGCACATCTGAGACTTCAACTGAGGCAGTTGACTTCCTGAATGGAATCATTTAACTGAATGACTCTGCAGATGTTTTTGGATCGAATATATCAAATTCTCTTGGTAAAAAGTAATACAATGTATGTTTAGTTGATAATATAACTATAACATTAGCTTGTTACACAATAATTAGCCCATGTCATGGAAAACTGGACTGTGTGTAGCAGTAGCCTATAACTAACCTAAAGAGATGTGTTTGGATGAAGAAATATTGTATTAGCACGTGTTTTGCAGATCTATGAGCTGTTGTCAGGGTGTTGTACTGATTGAAATGAGTTAAATACTGTATCAGCATCGGCTTCACAGTTAGCTAGTGGGCAATAGGCAGTGGTTATGATAATGCCAAATTATTTAGTTATTTAACTATTAGTGGGTGTGTTCAGGCTGGTGCTGCAAGTTTAGAAAGTTTGTTTAGAAGTGAAGCAAGTCTCTTATTATTATGGATTGCATCTTGAAAAAAAACAAAAACTAGTTATTCAACAACTAATACTGACAAATGAGGAGCCTGATGACAAACATGATGGTTATTGCAAAGGAGTTCTTTCCTCTCTTTGCCTAAAGGAAAGTAAACACCAGAAACATTAGCCTCATCTGTATGTGTGTGTGTGTGTGTGTGTGTGTGTGTGTGTGTGTGTGTGAGAGTGTGTTTGTGTGCATGACTTGGCTGTTTCCCTCCAAGCTTGAACTACTAATGAGCACACAATAAGTGCTGCATATGGTCTGCCTCTGGTGCAGTACACACACAAATGCACACAGACACACATTCACACACACCCAGCATACAAGAATATGACCACCTGGCAACAAAGTCACAAAGTCAAGGTGCAATTACGAGCAGGGTTGTCCTTCAATCAGAAGATCGGTGGTTCGATCCCCGACTCCGCCAGTCCATGTCGATGTGTCCTTGGGCAAGACACTTAACCCCAAATTGCTCCTGTAGGCTGTTCCTGTGGTGTGTGATCGGCAGGTGGCACCTCGCATGGTCGCCCCTGTCATCAGTGTGTGAATGGGTAAATGATGACATGTAGTGTTAAAGTGTGAAATAGTCATCATCGGCCCCAACTCCCTCACCTGCTCAGCCCAGCCCTTCTCTCTCAACATTGATGGCTCCATCGTCACCCCCTCCACCCAGGTCCGCAATCTCGGTATCATCCTCGACCCCACCCTCTCTTTCCTACCCCACGCCAACCACATCACCAAGACTGCCTTCTTTCACCTCAGGAACATTGCACGCCTCCGACCCTCACTGTCCTCTACCACCCCCGAAATACTCATCCATGCCCTCATAACCTCCAGACTCGACTACTGCAACAGCATCCTCTACGGTTCTCCCAACAAAATCCTCAATTAACTCCAATATGTTCAGAACTCTGCCGCTCGACTGCTCACTTCCAACCGCCGCTATGAACACATCACCCCGGTCCTTCGCAACCTCCACTGGCTCCCGGTCAAATACAGAATAGACTTTAAAATATTACTCACCACCTACAAAGCCCTAAACCACCTGGCCCCTCCCTACCTTTCAGACCTCCTCCCCCTCCACGTCCCAACCCGTTGCCTCAGGTCCGCCGGTGCAAACACTCTGAAGACCATCAGGACCAAGCGCCGGACCTGGGGTGACAGGGCCTTCTCAGCTGCTGCACCTCCCCTCTGGAACGCCCTCCCCATCTACATCCGTGAGGCTCCCTCCCTATCATCATTCAAACAAGCCCTCAAAACCCACCTCTTCAACCTCGCCTTCACCTGCTAACCCCTGCACCCCACCCTCCACTACATGACCCACTCTGCACAGCTTCTCCAGTTTTCTTTTTTGTTTGTTTGTTTGTTCTGTTTGTTTATGCACCATGTAAAGTGTCTTTGGGTACTTAGAAAAGCGCTATATAAAATTTAAGTATTATTATTATTATTATTAAAGTGCTTTGAGTGGTCTAGAGACTAGAAAAGAACTATACAAGTACAGTCCATTTACCATTTACACACGGAAAGCCAAAAGAAATGCCAACATAGCACTACCGGCATTCATCACGCACACTTACAGACATGCGTGCGCACACACACACACGCACACGCACACACACACATATGCGCAAGCACGCGCACACACACACACACACACACACACACACACATCCTCTCTTCTAGAATAGACTGGAAGTTAAAATGAAGTGTGAGCACCTAATTATGAATGAGCTGCACCAGGTCAAACAGAGAAGTAGTAGAAACAGACCTTATGTGTCATGATTAGGCTTTGCTTTCTGTGTTCTGTGTCTGTGTGTAGCTCCACATCCTCCTCACTCTACCTGTCAGCCTCCCTCATCATCAGCCTAACTCCCTTCACCTGTTCAAGCCACTATATATACTCCCCTGCTTTCCCTGTTCCGGTGCCAGATCATTGCCATGTCAACCCGCCCATTTGGCTCGTCCTGTACCCTGCTGTGTGTAAGATTCCTGTCGTGTTCCTGCTCCGTGTTTCCCAGTCTGCCTGCCCTGCCTCGTCCTGCTGGATTTCCACCCTTGTCTCTCATCTCGTCCTTGGTTTCCCTGTTTCTATGTACGTGTCTTGGTTCATTAAAGACCCGTTCCACTCTGCTTCTGGCCATGTCTGCTTTTGAGTCCTCCACCACACCCCGTGACATTATGCAACTAGAAAGGTGCAGATTTCTTCCAGATGTGTCTACAACAACCACTGCTGTAATATTTGATTGAATCATGTATCACACAAACAGCTGTCAGCTCCGCCTCAAAGGCGTAATTGTGACTTTAAGCGTTTCTCTACAATACGCGTGTACACAGGTTTTGTTGAGGTTGATGCCCCAAAGCCATGGACAGACAGAGATGCATTCGCACTCACTCACATAAGCACACAAACATTCACGCACACACACATGTGGCCGATCTAATTTCCTCCCGGGAGAGATAATAATAAAAAAAAGATCTGCCTTTTTGTGTGAATTAAACAAAAGTTTTTTACAAAATGTATTGAATTTAAGAAGAGATCTTGAGGAGAAACAAGCCACTAAAGGTTGGTGAGCCCGTCTATCTCTCTTTCCTCTGTTCTCTCTCTTTTCTCCCTGCCTTCTCACACAGCCTGTTCAAGGCAGGACTGTTGGTCCGTTATTCCACATTAGTTTTTGTATAACAGGGAATGTGGGGGCAGCAGAGGTAGTCACAGAGTAGACAGCGGTACTACGTGCACACACACACACAATGCTGTGTTCATCGTATCACCTCTTTAGCGGCCGTGATGCCAGCATGCGTATGAAGTCACACACCTGGGCAGCATTATGCTGCTGTTTGGTTCAGTTTAAAAGAAGGGAAGCCAGCGTAACGACAGATCTTCTTTATTGCAGAATCTCTGTAAAAATGGCAAATGCATAGAAATGGCATTGTTGTAGTATCCCAAAAGAGAGAGATAATAAATGCACATCTAATAAAGCTGAAACATGCAGACAGGGGGTCATCATTACAGTATCTGTGCAAAGATGCAGGACTTTTCCATCATTGTAGAAAAAGCACCTCATCAACAATCTCCGCTCTCCAAGCCATCTGTCACTCCCCTACTGCACCTCCCACTCCATCTATCCACCCTCCCTTCCTGCGCCCTTCCATCCATCCATCCATCCCCCTCCCACCGGCGACCCATATGTCTCTTTTATTACAAGGCCCCCCCCCTACCCCGACTCCTTCTACCCTGACCAGTCAGACAGATGGCACGTTCTTGCATGTACTGCAGTACAGAAGCGGACCGTACCATTGTGCATGTGGTGGGTGAGTGGCAGCAGGGAGGAGTGCTGCAGAAAGGGAGGGGGGGACAGAGAGAGGCTGGCACTATCCTTTCCTGTCCTAATCCCTCAGCCCAGTCGGTTGTGATGATGCTCTTTACAGATACAGTAGAAACTTCACACCAGAATATTAAGAAGGATGTTTTGAGAGTTCTGGACACCATCGATTGGATGTAAACAGTTGGATCTGTTCTGGTAAGAGAAATGATTTTCAATGCAGTTTAAGTTGTTTGTGTTGTATTTGACTTTTGGGGAATGAATTGATTCACCCAAAAATTACCTTTTAAGATGTCGGAGCACAGGCAGATATTTAAAATTGTTATTTTGATGTTGTTCTATGGTTTTAATAAGTGTAATTCTCAGATAAAATGCAGCATTAACATGTGGAAGTGATTTATCTGAGCAGAGCAGATAATCTAACGTTTGAGCATCATCATATCAGACAACAGAACTTTAGCTCCAATAGAAGATGACCAGCTGTATGTACACATCTCGTACTGTATGTAATGCAGAGAGAACAGAGTGAGAAGAATAAACATTGTGAGGAGTTTAGAGTCCTTAACAAGGATCAACGTGAATGGGGACAGACATCTATTATAACAAGCAGGAAGCACCAACACTTCTATTTAGCAGGGATAGCTTGCCAACAGCATTATGTAATCAATGCACACACACACACACACACACACACACATCTCACGTTACATTCTTTCTCTTGCAATATGTACTCCATTTAATATCATTTTTACAATGGGTTAAGGACCTCTATTATGTCACTGTTGACTCAGTTGCTCTGTAACATGGCCTTGACATCTAAAGGTGAACTATAGCAGATGAAGAAGCTGGGCTTTGGTCTCTGGGGCTTCCATAACTGATCTATGACAAAGCATCTTGTAAAGTAATAGTCACCCAAAGTGTACATCTGTCCGTGTGGCAGACATGCCCCACGCACCCTTTTACCTTTAAGTCTATCTCATAAAGGAAATGATTTCCTTCAGAGGTCAATTTGTGATTGTTTTCCTTCAAAATGAGTCGCAATCAGTGGCTTCATGTTTTCGGTGGACTGCGCTCACGTAGGAGACAACGGGCTGTGACCTCTGAACCCGGAACAAAAAACAGCTGAGGCTACGCTAAACTAGCAAAAGTTTCATTCTTGGCCATAAAATGTGCAACGTTTCTCCGCCGCTGTCAGCCAGAAATGCCGTTTGTTTTTGTGGCTGAAGGAGGGGCGCTCAAGGTGGGCCACACCCCATGGCCCTCTATTGGCCAGCCGCCACTGGTCTCAATATTGAACACTATGTTCATTATGTTTTGACTGACCTCTAAACGTCAACAGAATTGGGCAGTCCTTCAAACTTTGTCACCTCCGATTTCAGTCTTGACCATTTTGGCACATATAAGAAGGACTTGTTCAAATGTCAGTCGTGGTTCCCATACAATGTGTATCCTAATGACTTTGTTGATTTGTGATATTGGACTATGAAATAGTATTGAATGCTCCGTTAGCATGTTTGTCATAGTTTGCAATGTTAGCGCTTTTAGTTCAGCTCAGACGTTATCGAAATGCTCCCTATCTCATATTATGCACCTTTATAAGTTATCGGTGCATTTGCTCATATGTAGTCAAATGGAGTTGTTGATGGGACACAGGATTGGGAGATACTTGTTCCTTCCTGTCGTTGACAGTATGCCACGACAACATTAACTCGGCATCCCCCGTCAATGGACAGTGACAAATAGTAAACGAGGTATCCCCCTAATCAGTAAACACAGTATGAAACTCAACAATATAAGACCATTCTAGGGCTGCATTGCTTAGTTGGAAGCTTCAATCGTAATGTTGACGTTCAACTCTTTTATACATTCTATTCATTGTGTTTAAAGGCAATATGTCTGCACAGTTGCAGATAAAGATCACGCTACACTAATATTATTCATATTTGTAGAATTACATACCAGTGGTGGCTGTATAGGATTGTAATAGGACTCCAAACATTTCGTTGTAAAGTCCAACAGTCAATGTATTCAAGCATTTTTTCAAATGTTTTGAAAAAATTTCCAAAATTCACATCTTTTTATCTGCTGAATAATATAATTTATTTCCTGGCATTCAAAAACTACATTTTCACTGCAGAAGTGCTTACTTCTCCAATATGCCAAATCCGCCAATTGAATTAGGATGTTTTTAAAGGGAATGGGAGTTGACACTGATTGGTTTGATTCATGTTACGCCCAAAACACACCTAAGATTGATTAAGAGACTAAATACAACCCCTTTGCCCCTTGGGCCTTACTTACGCCCACATTGTTCAACTAGCAAAGGTGGAGTTGCTCATGCCCTAAATGCACTTGCGCTATAGATTGTTTGAATATAGCCCTTACTCTTGTTGACTTGGTGTATCAGTAGAATAATGTTTAATGTCATGGCCTTCCAAAACTGTGAACAATGTAACCCTTTCATTTTTCACCACTTCAGTTAAAAACAACTTGGTTAGGGTCAGGACAAGAGTGGGTTCGGTAAAAACATGCATGGTCATGGTTAAAAGAATCTAATGTTAACTGGAAACAGACGGTCCAGTACCATGGCACCTTGTGAAATATTCACAAGAGGCAATCTGTTGGATTTGTGTACATGGACACGAATTGTGTTTTTTTTTGGTGTAGCTCAGGACAAATACAATGCAATGGAAAGTTAATTGGAATCCTTTTTTGTTGTGGACACACAATTTAGACACATCCACGTGACTGGGCAATGGTGAGAGGTAGTAATAAATATGGACAAAAAACACTTCTGTTGGGCAGGAGGGGAGGTGGACGGGTCCAACAAACAGGACTTTCATCCACGAGACTGGTGTCCCAGAGTGTTGTTGTGGTTCTGTTGCCTAAACCTAACATCGGTATTGTTGCCTAACACTAACTGCGTAGTTACTTTACGTATAGCCATGATGTAATTCCTAAACCTAAAGCAGTGGTTTTGATGCTTAATCCTCACTTAAGTGTTGCATCCATACTTTGTCCTGAAAAATAAGTCGTACCGAGCAACACAAAAAACCAGACAATACGTGTCCCTGTACAGGAAGCCAACAGATTGCAGGTGACTAGTTAGTGAACTGCTGGGAGACTGTCACTCTCTTTGGCCCATCCACCCACAGTCACCACAGTGAGGGCTTGCAACATCTTTGTCAGGCAAACACAAAACACATATGTATATATATATATATATACATATATCAATGTCTATATTTATGAAGGAATTATGAAATAATTGAACAAATACTGTTTTTCTTGTGAGTAGTCGCAAATTGACACCAGTTATCGTAGGCTGGTGTCTTGTATAAAAGTCCATGCTAGTTTTATCATGTTTTAGCTAATGTATCGTGCACAGTAAACTCTACATAATGAATGAGCATCAAAGCGCAACATGTTGTAGATGTTTTAGTTTTCCTTCATTGCTGTACCGTAGGTAGGCCAGTAATCCATCACACTGAACAGCATGTCTGCATTTAGTTGTTCTCAAAGTTATATTATGGAACTGTTAAGTTAAAGGAGCAATATGACTACATTCAGAGCATTAATATATCATCACACAACTATCATCTATGTAAAGATATAGTGGAGTAATGTCCATGTGTGTGTTGTTATCAGAGCTTCTTCTCTCTTTGCTCACATAGCCCGTTGGCCGAGTGCCTTTTAGTGCATGTTAGTGCATATGAGTGTGCATGTCAGTGCACGCTCACTAGTAAGTAAGCGTGCCCCACTAGTAAGCTCACGGCTGCCACTCTGCACTACGCTCATATGCAGGTTACAGCTGATAACACCAGCATCAGATAGCATCAGATCGATACTCAGACCGTCGTGGAAATGTAGCACCCCCCTGGTTCCCCCTCAGGTGTCTGCCGTAGTTTGTACTGTTAGCGCTGCTAGGTGTTCAGGCATCACCATGTTGAGAGGCAATCGAAATGCTCCCAATCTTGTATTATGCACCTTTAAATAAACACGCCCACATCAGTGGCTCACGTGTGCATTGCAGCTGATTCTGTTATTTAGTTTTAGTGCATAAAGACAGGAAATAACTACCTCAGTGAAGCTATGATCTTCTGTTACCGCTACTGCTGTGGTGTCCCTGCTCATTCCCTGTTCCAGTTCCGTTGTGTGAGTTGTAGTAAGATGCCTCTGCATTGTTTTGCATTGCTCCGCCTATGTATTTAATATGTGAGATTTTCAGCTTGAGGCTGATATATTCTCTGCAAACCACTGACTGTGAGAGCGTTTCAGGAAGGGAAGGAACCCAATTTCAGTTATTGCTTGGCTTGATGCCTTTATATTAAATCACTTGTGACAAATATAAGCGGTTCTTATAGGATTGAGAATGCCATTTAAACAGTTTTTCTGACTCAGAATAAATTGTCCTTTGACTCTGTCTCCATTTGTTGACCCACCTGGGCTGAAGGGACAACCTCTTGTTCTGAGGCTGAGAAATAAAGTGAGAATTTGACTCTGAACTCGGTCTACTCATTGACTGTATTCTTTCTTAAAGTCCCATGGCGGCGGCTTCACTATTTTGACCTGTCAGAGTACCTGGTCGAGCTCTCTTCTGGCTTGGTCACAGTCGCAGTAATGCAGGACAGACCTTTAAAATGACTTTGCACTTGCACCTGCATTTCAATGCAAGCCTAGTAGGCCTTCAACTAACTGAAGTGAATGCAGGCACATTCTGTGTGCCAGCCAAGAAGTCTTTCCTTTTTAACAGGAAAATGGAGGATTTGTGGATAAGTAAAAAACAATGGCATGTTCCTTAAATCCAGCTGATAGTTCATATTTGATGATGCTGCTTTACCAGAGTGCAGCTTCCTTCTGCTGCCATTTGATGCAGTTGACTGCACTGTACCTTAAGTGTGTAAGTGTGTATGAGGTCTCTTCCTGCTGTGGAACGTGATGCATTATTCATTTTGTCTAAATGACTGGGCTGACTCGCATTCATCATGGGTCTGAGGGTGGTTGTTGCTCACACAGTCACAGTCAGTCCCATCAGCTTCTTTCAAAAATCAATATGTTGGAAAGGTCGTCATGAAAACAGACTTCATGCCAAATAAGAGGTAGAAGCATCTCTACTCCCATTTCCTCTCAGTTCAGTTGTGCATTATGACAAATAAAGAACTATAACATTAGCTTGTTTCACAATGAACTCTGTGTAT